TTGGGGGAAAAGATTTAAATTATTTTTCTTTCTGCTAATGATAGGATGTGAAGGGAAGATGTACGAGAGTGTGCTAAATAGGAAAAATTTACCAAGTTAATGTTAGGAAAAAGTTTCTGTTCTCGGTTTAGGAGTTGAAACTAGATGTGTTGAAACGTTGAAACGTGTCGGTAATCTCGGAGAGAGAAGAAAAATGTTTTTTCAATTTGTTGTCGCGTAGTCGACAAACGTTCAAACTCAACTGCCGGGCATTTGAAAATTAGTATGGGGTAGGCATCGATTAATGTAGATTCGACGTAAATCAATGATGATTTGACATCGATTAATGCAGATTCGGCTTCAGCTTCTGTATATACGACATCGTTCGTCAACAAATTTTCAGGTGCAGAAACTTTGAAGATCTGTACTGAATCGGCATAGAATGCTCCTCTTTAATCGGTGGTGTGCCCCGCGACATTGCCCCCTACAGTCCCCATCCAAATTGGGTTCTACCTTCGTAGATCGAGCAGGAATTTGCATCAATATTCTTGATCGAACCACATCAATCTCCGTCGATCGATCAGGACCTTATTGACTGGGTTGGAACAAAATTTCTACATGGTAGGACGGGACTGCGTGGCACTTTGGTTGACCCAGCTGTAGCAAGTGCAGTAAGCGCAACGGTGGTCGGTAGTGTCACCCGCTGTACAGAAGACTGCATACGCGGTGGCAGTTACATAATTCACAGCTTTGACACCAAGGAAAGATGAACCAAAATGCGGAAGAGATGCTGCAGGAGCGTCATGCCGCTATTTCTCCCATGAAATACGATGCGGACCACGGTGCGGACGGTTCTCCCACGGTGCACCGTCCCAAATCACGCGGGCCCATGCCCCAGCCATCTTCAACGCTGAGACCTCACCTGAAAATAGCTGTATATGGTAAAATCTCTTTACTGGTCACTATTTAAAGCAATTACGAGTAAAGGCCCGTTTACACTATAGGTGCAACGACATGGTATGGACGGTGAGGCGCGTGTCAAGCGCTTACTGCAGCGCCTGACTCCCACAACCGTTCGCATTAATTTTTGAACGCGGTAGCTCGCGACCGCGCGCTTCGAACATTATTTGCTAGTTAGACGTCAGTGGGATGGATGCATCAGAATTTGAGCTCTGAGCCATTGTTCTCGGGTTTGCTGTAATTGCATTAATGGTCTCTATAGGCATTCATAGTCTCTATAGGCATTCATGGTCTCTATAGGCATTCATGGTCTCTATAGGCATTCATGGTCTCTATAGGCATTCATGCATGGTCTCTATAGTTTTTAATAGATTGCGACGTTTCGAAAATACAATTTTCATTATCAAGCTGGTGAAGGTTTTACAACACTGAAAGTTAAATTTTGGGAATGACAGAAGTACATATGAATGGTACAGTGGATACAATTTTTAAATATTACCTTGAGATTCCGGACGAATCCCGTAGTTTGGAGATTGATGGCTGGAGACTCGCTCTTGATAATGAGGGCCTCATCTATCGCCAATCTCGATGGGTCGGGGCACCGCATAACTATGCTGGTGCAGGCCACCAATGTCGCTCGGGTGATGGTCTCATTGTGAGCCTCCCGCATGTGGTTCTTAGGGCCTCCAGATTGTAGATGGCATGTGAGTCGTCGGCTCAAGGTCGTGCTTGTAAGACCAATGTAGTTTATATTTTGAAGAAGTCTACAACCTTCTTTATTACATGAGAATTTATAAATAACATTAGTTTCTTGAAGCAGTCCGGATTTTTTACAAGGAATATTGTACATTACAAGGTTTTTAATTTTCCTATTTTTGTAGTAGATCAGAAGTTTTATTTTTTCGTTATCTGTTGTGCTCTTGGTATTATCATGGATAATTGACTGGATGACTCGTTCATCCACTTTATAGCCTCTGTTCATCTGGTTTTGGTAGGAGATCGTTGTGATGGTTCCATTAGATATTACATCATTGTTGATTCGTTTCTCTCTCGATCGGTAATTTGCAATTTCAGTGTCAATTGTTCTATTAGAAAACCCATTATTTACTAGAATTTGTTTACACGATCTGAGTTCAGTTTTCAAATCACTCTCGGACGTGCAGGTCTTGAATGCTCTTTGGATGAGAGCGAGCACTGCGCTGGTTTTATAGAGCTGAGGGCATTTACTTTTTTCGTTAAGCACTTTCCCGACATCGGTAGGTTTTCGGTAAACATTAGTGACAGAGGAATTATCTTCAATCCGCACTAATATATCTAGCAATGGTAATTTATGATTTTGTCCAATTTCCCGAGTAAACTTCATCACTGATTCATGTTCCAAAGCTATTCGCAGCTCGATCAAGTGCTCTTCGTCTCGAATGACTACAAAAATGTCATCTACGTATCTGCAGTAGAGCTCAGGCTTGATCTGTGCATTGAGTAACACTCGATTTTCCAGTTCACACATGTAGAATTCTGCAAAAGTTGGACTTAGAAGGCATCCCATGGCAACGTCGTTAATTTATCGGTAAATTTTGTTATCAGGAGTCCGGAAGGGGTATTCTGATGTACAGAGGCGAAGAATGTCAATTAAGATATTTTTTGGTATAGATGGAGCTTGCAGGGTTTCGTGCGAATACACATGCTTCATGATAATTTCTAACGTTTCTTCGGTTGGTACATTAGTGAACAAACTAGTAACATCCAGCGAAGCTAGCAGGCCAGAAGGGTGCGAGGCATGAATAATTGCCAAGAAGTCATTTCTAGATTTCAAGAGTATTTCTTAGGGATAGCAAGTATGGAGTCTGAAAAATTCAAACAAGCCTAAGCAGAATATATTAATATTTTGAAGCAGAAATAATGTCAGTGTTAAGCCAAATCAAAGCTTTTTAATCTCGCATTAGGAGCATAGATGAAATATGCTCTATAGTACGCCTCGCACCAAGCAAGGCTCAAATAAATCCTATTTCTTGAATCAAAGCATGGGCGTAAAATTCACCGTCAAACATGACTGCTCGCAATTTAATGAAGACAATCATGAAGAACATTTGATGAATTACAGTTAAATGTTTTCTGAATTATGTAGGACAAGTTGTTTTATAAGTGCCTCGTTGAATCCTTCAACTTTACTGCAGTGCCCGTATCTTGAGACCGCGGTGGGTAGAATTTCAGTCAGAATATTAATGAGAGTCTCCAAAGGCAGTGACATGTCCCACGCGTCCCACTGCTCCGCGAGGGTCTGCATGGAATTGAAACATATTAAAAACATTAAACAATATAAGAAATAAACTTTAATTATTGACGTGGCGAATGGTGAGATTTTGCAACCTCCGCAGTTTATTGATCTCATTAATTTCCAAAAGTCGCAAGTTTATTGAAAGCTTGAAAGCAACTTGAAAGCTATGAAATGGCAAAGAAATTCGCCATATTTTCGACATCCAAAACGTTGCACCATCACAATACACTTACTTCATCATGGAATCAAAAAGATAACAATAATGATGATGAAACAACAGGTCTAAGTCTAGCGCCAACATTTTTATTAACTGATGATGGAACTGTTTCTGAAACGTTTTCGAAGAAAATAAGTGTATTTACTTGGATTTTTCAAACTTTAATAAATATAAATTACAAGAATTAAGAAAAACGCTTCTGCATTATGTATTATATTTATTAGCTTAGAGAAAAAATATTACTAACTGCCATCTTTGGATGACGTTCGCCATTTAGAAAGGAGCCTCCAATGCCATGGACCACGTAGGGCCCTAGCACCATAATCTCCGGGCAGCGCGTCGAGAAATTCCGGCACGCTGGCCATCGGAAGTTCCAATTGCACTCCAGTTCATAGAAATGTTCTGGAGCCTGTGCAAAAAGAACGATAAATTTTCGTTATGAGTTGACAAAATTTGAGCATAAAAACATATTGTTTAATAAAAAACAAAAACATCCCGTGAACTTACCACATTTGACATTTTTCTTTTCTCGTATAATCTATGAATGAGATCTTAACTCATCGATTTACCATGAAATAACGTTAATTCGTCAATCGTGAAAACATAATAAATGGCATTTGTATAAAGTTAGAGTAACATGCATCAATCTTGCCTAAAAATTGATGTAGTGGTTCGAGGCATCATTAACGTCAACTTCAAAGTCGTTTGTTTGGACGCTGCATCAATTTTTTTCATTAGCAGTCCATTTGCTTCTACTATAACATGCGTGTTGAATACAGTTCTACAACAGTTCCAAACTCAAGGTCAATTCGTTTCAAGATGATTTTAATTCCTAAGAGATGAAAAGAATTTTCCATTAACGCATGACTTTTTTCTACTGAAAATTTGAAACCATCACACATTTATCATTTACGCTCAAATTTATGTATGCTAATCGAGCTAGTTTTCACAGCTTTTATCGGCTTATCTCCAAAGAAATTTCTTAGCGATCAATTTAATAAAAAACTGTGACAGCTGATAAAGGAAAAACAGATGCAACAAATGCAAATATTAGCTGCATGGAGAATGAAGAATCAGTTGAATTGCGACAAAGAACGATCGAACAAGTTCTGCAACAAATCGGAAGGATAATGAATGTCATAATAAATTTTGTCTAGGATGTTGCTCATACATACGCGACTTGGTGACATTAGAATGACATATGTCTAGAAATTTAAGATGCTTTCATCCAATTAATTTTCACAATTATATTTAATACACTGAAAATTTTAAATCCATCCTGACAGATAGAACAATGTAAACGATGTAAACGCATAGATATTAAAATCTAAATCAGCACTCGAATCTTTGGGAACAATTTATCTTCAATGGAATTCGTACTGATAGACGAACAAATTTGAAGCTTGGATTAATCGAAAGTAATTTCTCTCGAGTTAGATTAAATTGAATGAAATGGCGTGCATTGATTTGAAAATCCAATTTCTGACATTAAGCGTTCCATATCAGAGATAGGGGAAGATTTATTCCTTCGATTATGCTGAAGAAATTGAGATTACAGCTCACCTGGAGTGTTAACTTCGATTGCTGTTCACGTGGCCAAGACTCACTCAAAGCTTCGATCTTCTCGAATACATTTCGGGAATCGCTCACAATTATGAATCTGGTCATCAAATGAAATAAAAGATAAATGAAAAAATAGATAATTACTTCCAATTGTCTTCTATTTCACGAATATTTGTGCTTGACCGATCGGCCGATCTACTGATAATAATTGAGTTGAATAAATCTCGTTCCTTCGCGAGTTAATTTATTTCCATAGAAATGGTGATAACGGCGTTTTAGTTGTTCATTAATATTCTTAGTTCATTAATATTTTTCAGAAACCGAATAAAAGATTCTGGATGCTGCATGAATGGTATCAAGAAACAAAGAAGTTTTACAAAATTTAATCGATTTGCATAGCTATTAAAGTTTTGTAACATACTCCTAAACATTTAAGGGGAGGGTACGGGTCGAAATCAATTATTTTGACTTTTTCGGTTTTTATACTCATCTTAAAGCTTACATTCTGATGCATCTAACGATAATAATACCATCTATGTACGTTGATTTATGCATTCACGACAGATCGCGAAAGGGTTTGGGGTGGTGGAGTTTTTCAACATTTAAGATAGGCCCAAATTACCGGTAGCACACTTAGATAGCTAGTCTGCACACGCTTTGCTTCAGTTATCCGCCTGCAGTCATATGGGATGGTTCTCGTGCCGTCGTTCGCACCATCCTTGACAGAAATTGAGCTCCGATATCATCTAGTCTTGCAACCATGCACCCTTGAATGTTTTTTTTTTTCGAGGCGCGCGCGACTTTGTCGGGCCCTACTGAAAAGTTACCTTATTGTCACTGCAAACCTATCTCCTCCTAGTGTTTTAAAGCTACATCAATGAGACAAATACCATTCGATGTAGAAAGGAAAGATCTACAAATGTCACTTGGTCGTTTTTCCAATTTCGTTATAGTTCGGATTTTATTTTGCAAAAAGTGGGGGAGGGCGGGGGTAAAATAGAAAAATTTCGAAAAATATCGGGCAAAATGCTCCCACACCCACAAAAATGATATATACAAAAAACCGCCAAGTGACGATTTTAGATATGGTCGTTACGCATCGAATGATACATGTATGTGTCTAGATGTTGTAGCTTGAAAATCCTATGAGGAGATAGGATTTCTAAAGTATCCCCTTTTCGGCCGTTTTCTAAGAATTTCACGTTTTCTTTAATTTTTTCGAAAAATTCACACGAAATAAAGACTTAGAATTTCGTTTTACATGCTTTTATCAAAATTCGAATCGACCCGTCTGTAGATAACCGAGATAAAATTTACCCAGACGCTCCCCTTAATAAAAAAAGACACGACTATATTACAAAACTCAAAAAATAGGCCGTATTTATTCAATATATGACTGTTTATCGATTAATTTGGCATTATTAACTGATTAATTAATGAAACTTACTTCACTGGTTGGTTTGATAAATAAATGAATGATTTCATGGCTGCGTTGACCTGAAAAAACTGACGACTGATGTCCGTGAGGGAGCTCGTCAAGTTATCAGGAGTCCCTGGATTGAAAAGTATATGAATTGGACGAATACAAAAATGAAATATTATGTTATAATTAATTGAAACATAATTTCGTTTCCGTATTAAAAACTTCACGAGACAGTGGTCAGCGGTTTCACCTTAATTAAAACAGTTTCTTACTAAAATGACGATTCAAATGATAATTGCTAATTAATTATCTACACTAAGCTGTAGAAATAACGACTCTAATAGTAAAAAATATCCAATTAAATCACGCAATTACTTGGAAAGCGCACCGGTCTACATGGTGAACAGCATAGCTTGATTTAAACATCCTACCGAAAGATATGTGACTTCTTCTTACCTTCACACAAAACGATCACAGCTACTACTTCTTCGGTCGGTATCATTGGCTTTGAATAAGATGCAATTGTGTTTGTCGTCTCTGTGAAGCACATTATTGAACAAATTAATTGTAAAAGTAATTTTTATGAACTGCTACATCACTGGAAAGGAAATTCATAGAGAAAACTTATTTGATTTTTTATCAATGTAAACATGCTGCTTTCCTAACATTCAAAGAAATGTCTCAAAAATTCGTAACAATCTTGAATAATTTAACGCCCCACCTAGCTTTTATGATGTTTCTGACGTATTGTTGCCTTTTTATTGATTCTAGGCACTGAAATTAATAATTATATTCACACATTCTACTCCAGTCACTCAATTTATTTGCAAATTGGCTTCAGGTTTCTGGACAGCGCGATCAAGAATATCTTTAGGGTTATTACAGGTAAGCCTCGAGCTGGCTCGACTAATAAAATGAGTATTTTGTGATTAAGACAGTTAAGCTATGGATTTCATTTTAGTTATTATTAGAATGAAGTTTCACATACCGATTAATAATTCATCATTGACGTTCAACAAATCGACCTCATAACCTTCAGAAATAACTTCTCTTCGGTTAATGCGACGATAAGCAGAATATCCTGCAGACTCTCTCTTGATGAGATACAAGTTAAGTTGAAGGAATACAAATATCGTTCCAGCAATTGCCAGGGCGTAACACACATTAGAAATTGGAATCCATTTTACCTGGAAGGGGTAGAACAACACAACATTTTGTTACATATATATTAGAACAACTTGGTGCGTTAAAATGTTTATAGATATAGAACTGAGCAATATTTTTATAATTTCCGAATAAAAACCATACATGACATATGGCTAAACATTTCAATACTTACCGATCCACGGTGATGAAACATTTTTTTATGACTTGATTGAGTATAGATCTTTAATTTCAATTCAAAACGGATGAGATCTCTTGAAACTACTTCAAAATCAATCTTAGGAAAGAACAATGTATGTAGTTAGGATTGAAGTCACAGAAAACTATTTTTGATGGAAATTCAATTACGGATATTATTGCAAGGGATTAAATGCTTCTGATCAGGTTGCACTTGACAAAACTGGAACAGGAAATAAGTGACGTCAGAGAATCCCCAGTTAACATTAACAATGCGGTATTGATGTTCATGATAAATAGGTCCTCGCTAGAGATAAAACCATTGTTTCAACGACAATATTGTCAAGAATTTTCGGGTAGTCCGAGCGAGACTCCCGTCTATACCGCAGGTACCCAACGATGAAGGAGTCCGTTCTACTTGTTACAAGGCTTGCGTTTTCTTATCACTTTATTTACGGCTATACAGACCTTTAGTTGAATGTTCTTGTGATTTTAAAGCACTCTTAAGTTTTTCCTTGCATATCGCATATTCATTTCATGCAATTCATTAAGTTAAATTTCCTAAAAAATTAAGAAAATGTAACCTCAATAACCTTTGAGGTTTCATTTTTTTATTTGATTATAGTGATTCCTATGACTTAACACTTGTAAGAGTTTATTTTCCTATCTTCTCTAGCCAGTAACCTCGTCAAATGACATAATGAAATTTATGATGAGCTCTTTTTATCTATAAAGGAGGAGCTAGGTTTGTGCTGCTGCTCTTCTGTAACACCGTCTCTGTGCAACTGAATATTGCTCTGTATTAAGAGCTCGCTTTACGGATAAATTGTCGTTATTATATCCACTCAGAATGTAGATCATCTCATGAGATATGTTCGCATATGTCGCAGGTGTGTTATTTCACCTGTTTAGAGCGAAGCTTACCTCTTGTTCATGTAATTGATTCTATGATCTTGTGACATACAAGTTAAGTGCTCCGAACAGAGGTGTCTCTAGGAATATTTTAGGCGGACTTCAGCCCTCCCGCTAAATATTCTTATGCTATCTAAATAATTTTATATTACTAAAACATTATTATCATTATTATTATTATTATCATTATTATTATCATACTAATATTTTTATTTAAAATATAATTACCAATAATATTATTATAAGTAAACCCGATTATAAGTTCAAACAAATAACTTAGTCATTATAAACTTGATTATGATCAAAAATAAATAATATAAATAATATAATAACACCAGTAAAAAGTATAATAATATAGAATAAAAAAGTCTTTGGGCCAGGCTACCTTTGAGATTATGCAAATTCTTAAATAACAGATTTTATTATTTTATCTTTTTAGCGCAGTTTCTTATATATGGAAAAAAGGCGCTANACAGAATTGAAAAAATAAGCAAAATATTGGCAAATTGAAGAAGATTTAGCCAATATTTTTCAGAAGCTCTAAAAAAATTATTCTTCAAACCTAACACGTGAGAGATCTCAAAGCGACTCAAGAGGAATTTGACAATCTATCATGTGAACTTGTCCTCGTAAGGTTACTAGAAAACAATCCTAAGTCGTAACGTTAAGCACTGCCGCGCACAACACTGCCTCTGCTGCCTAGGGCTGCATCGAAAAGACTGCCGGACATTTCTAGCTTAGCTCATCTGCAGCAGCACAAGTGCAAGTTAGTAAGATAAAATCTGGAGAGATAGACATAATTTATGGTTGAACATTGCAGTCCATTGGCTCCAATTCTGAATTTTTCCAATTCAGAATTATTACTCCTATTGAATTATTAGAATTACAGAATTATTATCCTATTATTACTCCTATCCAGGCCTATCCAGGCCTATTTATTTAATGCCGAAGATACTATACTATTCTTTACTTTCATTTTCTTCTCTGCATTAACGCTAAGAAGTAACTCAATCATGTCAACATAGAAAAGAATTACTGTGAAATGAAAGGTATTTTTTGCTTACTAGTAGATTTGGCTTATTTAAATTGTTAAATCATACAGATTTATACCCTAAATTCTACTAGCTTAATCTTATATACGATAATTTTTAAATAAACTTCGGGCAACACCTGTAGGCTTCTGCCCAGGAGTCGCTTAACTCGGCACAAAGTAATTGTAGGTCAGCATGGCTACCCGATCGAAATTAGCTACTGAACAGAATCTACATTCCGACTTTATATTCGCCTGCGAGAACTAGCCGAATATCGCAAGACGATATGTATTCTTCAGACACGCTCGAATAAGTCTCTCATGAACTTTAATCAAATTCTCTACCAAAATATTGCAATTCCATATTAGACATAAAATATGTATAATTTACATCAAATTTAAAACATCATTTTCACAAAACATTCGTGATACTCTATCACGTTCAGTCTGAGGAATATCCCATAGAACTTTATAATGTTGTCCAACGCCTGCTATAAATTGACGTGTCGATTGAGCGCATTCTATAAAGTGCATTAATAAAAATCTGGTTTCGCATCGAAATGATTTTAAAAAAATTATTCTTTACATGAGATATCTATCCTATGTGGAGACATAATTTTTAAAGAGTTGATGAGACTCGCCTTAGTGAATACTATTTTAGCCTTTACTAGCTGAATTTAAAGTCTCACATATATCAATATAACATCAGAATTACTTTGAAAACTCGTCTGTCACATAACTTGACAACATGAACATATATTGACTGAATACGATTAGTGTGAAATTGAAAAATTATTGATTAATCAATTCGTAATTGTATTGAATAATGACATGAAACTTCATCTTCCCTCATTTCAGAAAAGTCTCTTCTCAGCCGACACTGGAAGTTGTGGAAAAAAGAGGCTGATGATCGATTCTAGATGATCTAGGCTGATGATCGAAGAGGCTGATGATCGACAAACTAATTCTTGATAAGATGTACCCTGAGGAAGACGCATTAATCTACTTAGATTAATGTGTCCTTGTGTTCCTGCGACCGATAGAAGATCTGTGGAGAGTATTTAAAAATTTCAACGATGAGCAGTTATTTGGAGCTGTAACACCTTTGTGGAGAATCTTCAGAGACAAACCTTTAACCGAGCTTGAAGAGGTTTGTTTACAATATTATGAACACTTACTTTTTTAAACGAGGTATCCAAGTGACATTCTATATGCAATAATATGCGAACATGATTCCTTCCATAACTTGATATGAATATCTTATTTCGGTATAACAACTGATAATAAATGACAGCAGTTGATATGAAAGTAGACCAATAGATCAGACTCACTGCAATTGGTTTCCTGTAAAGTTTAAAATTCATGATAGTCGCAAGCAAAATTTTAAATCCATTAAAACCAATAATGCCTGACGTGCGAAGGTAGGGCGAAGGTAGGTAATTCATGGATTTTTCAAGCATATCAGTATCAAAAAATTTTAGTATTCTACTACCTCCCCGACAGTTGCCATATCTGTCATAACAAATTCATGTATGAGAGTAGGTATGATAAAAATGATCCTCAATTTATGATAAAATTCTTCTGAAAGTGTTAAGTATTTTTTTCAACCGATCGTAGAAAGCGATAAAATATTCTTTTAACAGTTCGTATATAAGTGCAAGGTTATTCATTTAACAGTTCGTAGAAAATGCTAAATTATTTTTTAACCAATAGTAGTAAGTGCTATGTTTCCTGGCTAACCGATCGTAGAAAGTGCCAAGTTTTTTCTTTAAAGAATCGCAGAAAGTGCCAAGTTTTTTCTTTAAACAATCGTAGAAAGTGCTAAGATTTTTCTCAAATCGATCGTAGATGACCAATTTCGCTGGACGGGGTTTCAACGCTGGTCTTCTGCTCCTCAATCTTAATTACGCGCATCAGGAGCCAGGCTGAAAAATGGCAGGTCGCCCTTCAGTCGGCCTTGGAACTTGCTCAACCTGCATTTAATGACCAGTTCATTTTCAACCGTATGATGAATTTGGTATGAAAAATTCTGAAGTGAATTCAATTCCCAATTATATCGGTGTAAGGGCACGCGATTCGCTCTTCCTAAAGTCACTTGTTCTGCATTCCCAAAGCTAAACTCGACGCTAGGGCTGATTGTAGACTTAGATCTTGTCCACCCACACTCGACAGGTGAGCTTGTTAACCAACGGCTAATTCTGGTTCTATAATTTTGTACTATATTTTTTGTGATGAATTATACATTTTGAAATAGACCTTGAAATTCCCACGAAAGCAATACCTACATGACTGTTCAATCTCGACAGGTCGGACCTGAAAGGCCGAACCTACCGTCCCGCAAGCTCAAATCTCGTTGCCTTACTTTACTTTAGATTATCCGGGTTACGTTCCATTTCTTTACGTAACTCAGCTTTACTTTACTGCACTTAATGTAACTGTTCTTTGCTACCGTAACTCTTCCGTCACTTAGTCGTAGTTTTGCGTCGCGTAGCGCCTGAAGTTGACTCCCCTTCATTTAGCATTCTTTGATCTATTGTTAATAAATGTTTCTGTTTACTTCTGAAGTTGTTTTGCATCCACCCCATACGTTAAACGAACCGTATCCCTTGACAATCGGTGATTTTATTATTTAAATTTAACTTCTAAATCGGAAAAAATGAAAATTTACCTCTGTAACTGAATTTAACTTTCCCGTTTGTTTCAAAATTTTTAGGCTAAATTTTTATTTATTTTTTTACAAAGGAATTTTTTGTGACTGAGTTTTGTATAAATGATTAAATTATATTACCCTCAATTACGAGTCATAATAAAAAATTCGCATAATTTCAATATCATGAATATATATGGTTTAATTTCGGATCCTATCATATGATCAATAAAGTT